TATAACAAAACCACACAGAGTAATGCAAGAAATGAACACTAAATGAGCAGAAACTTTCAAAAACATAGTAAAACATACAATAAAATATTGGCAATTTGGGTCTCAGAATATATAAAAATATAAAATATAAACCCCTCCTATTATCTAATCAAGTTATGCAAGATTGACTCAATATTAAACCATCAACCTCTGTGCTCCACTAACAACTATGGGAAATAGATGTGATCAGATAAGGAAATGCATTTGACAATATTCAATATTTATTCTTGTGCCAGGTCATTCATCATGTTGATTTCTCGACCTAGGTATATATAACTGTTGCATTCGAAGATGGTGGTTCCGTTGAGAGTGAATGGAACATCAAAAAAAAGTAAGAGTTGAGTTGTCTTCCACTTGATAAGGAACATCTACAAAAATTTAAAGTTAATATATTTATGAGATATTGAATGCTTTGTGCTTACAATAAGGAAATGTCCACTTTTACTACCCTTGTCCAAACTAGTATGAAAGTTCTAAACTGAAATAAGTAAAGAAAAAAATACAAGACTTATATACTTGAAAGGAATAAATTTTCCAATTTGAAAATCACTTGAAAGTCCCAAAAAAGTATTCAAGACACTAGTATGTGACAGATCAACACACAAAAACCATTCATATCACTGTATTCTAGCAATGATTATGTGAAAAAATTTTAAATATTATATTTGTACAATTACTTCAAGGAATGAAACAGTACATACTTAACAATATACGGACATAACCTCTATGTTGAACATTACAAAATGCTCATCAAACAAGCCCTAAATATATGTAGGCATGGTGCTCTGAGAAAAACCCAGAGAATGTAATCAAGGGGTAAAGTAAGGTAAAAGTCAGGAGAAAATATTTGTCAACTATGGATTCAACAAAATGCTTCCCTAAAATATATTAGAAACCCCCGATGATAGCACTACACTGTAGCACTGTCCTCCCGTTGTTCATCGATTTGCGCGAGCGGGCACCAGTAATGTCTCCACTGTGAGGCTTGTTGTTAATGTTCTTGCATATTGAATATGCCACGGGGAGCTTTCCAGGCTCTGCTGTGCAGGCAGATTACTCTAGGTAGCTTGCTGGGCTCTCCAAGAGGGATGGAGGAATCAAACCCAGTTCGTCTGCATGTAAGGCAAACGCCCTACCCTCTGTGCTATCTCCAGCCAAACAAAATTACCCTTTTAGGAAAAATGGATAATGTAAAGATGAAATATATGTATATATCTAAAATACAGAGCCAGCAATATAAGTATAAAGTACAACAATAAGATTTTAAAATGTGCTTGTCAGGAAGTAGACTAAGTGAGATGGTAGGGAACCTGGGGACACTGATGGAGGGAAGTCACCACTGAGTATGGGGTTGATGATGGAGAATTTTATGCCTGAAACCCATTTAAGAATAGCTATGTAAATCACAATGACTTAATATATATATAATAAGGTAATCTTTTAAAAGACAATCATTTCACTGGAGAGAGAGAAAAAATACCAGAAGATGTTCAGTATCATTAACAATGACTTGCAGATTAAAACTACAATGTGATATCCTTAAATATTTATCTAAATTGACAAAATTTTAAAGCATGTTAGCTCTACATATTGACAAAAATGAGGAGAAGACATATCTCTCATTCTATGTTGGTGGGAAAAAAATTTTATATCCTCTCTAGAAATTAATGTGGTATTATCTATAAGGTTAATCATGCATCGACCAAGCAAGCCAGCAATTAGACTGAACATTTATGCAGAAAAAAAATTTAAGTTTGCAGTAAGTCATCACTTAATGTTGTCTATAGGTTCTTGTAAACTGTGACTTTACGCAAAGCTACATTTAACAAAATCAATTCTATCCTAGACAAATGATATACACAAGAGTTAAGTTTCTGTGTCACCAAGACATCACCAAATTTCTAAAGAAAAACTCCAAACACATCTAATCATAAATAGTCATTTGTGTCGATTTACTTCCATAGTTTTTATTCCAGTTCAGGATCATAGTTACCCAGGAAATAACCCTGATAGGTCATGATGCAATATGGAACATAACTGAATAGATATGCCCTTGTATCTCGGGTACACTCACAAACACACACATAATAACTGTAATTGGATAATTCAGATATGCCAGAAATAACCTCACATGCACCCTTTAGAATCACTGTATCACTGTATTATTGTCCTCCTGCTGTTCATCGATTTACTCAAGTGGGTGCCAGTAACATCTCCATTCGTCCCAGCCCTGAGATTTTAGTAGCCTCTCCTTACTCATCTTTCCCCATGGTGTCATATTGAGACTCTTTTAGGGTCAGGTGAATGAGACCTGTTATTGTTACTATTTTTGGCCTATTGAATACACCAGGGGGAGCTTGCCAGGCTCTGTCGTGTGGGTGGAATATTCTTGGTAGCTTGCCAGGCTCTCCTATATATATATATATATATATATATATATATGTATATGTATGTATCTTATATCTGTCACTGTCCTTCCGTTGTTCATCGATTTGCTCAAGTGGGCCCAGTAACATCTCCATCATGAGACTTGTTGTTACTATGTTTTGGCATACTGAATATGTCACAGGTAGCTTGCCAGGCTTTGCTGTGCGGGCAAGATACTCTTGGTAGTTTGCCGGGCTCTCTGAGAGGGGTGGAGGAATCGAACCCAGCTCATCTGGGTGCAAGACGAATGCCCTACCGCTGTGCTATAGCTCCAGCCCATATATATATACATATATATGTATATATATATATATAATATTTCCCTCTATGATTTGTTGCCTACTGTCTGAATCCCATAAAATATATGGTATGGTAACTATGAGAAATGGGTAGGGAGGCCCCCATAACCATGCACCCAGACTCCATGCCAGACTGTTTTCACTCGAGGCGCCTGAGAGGGGGTCGGGTGAGAGCCCTCGCTGCCCCAAAAGACCCAGCCCTGGCAGCCGACTTCCACTACCCAACTGCTGCCGTGCTCCACTTTCCACACATTTGGACCAAGTCTCATGCATGAGTGAAGTCCCTTGGAATCCAGGTAATGTGGAACTTTGTGACCTTGGACTCTGGGCTCAATGGGACCCTGGAGCAGAGATTCTCTGCCTGCTTCCCCCAGTCTCCAGCTATCCAGGGGTCACACCCATAAGCCACTTATGGCTTATGGTCACATCCATAAGCCAGCGCCAGATAATCTCCTCATCAGCTACCCTTGAGAACTCATTTTATGCTTCTCCTGGAAGAGAGCATAAAATGAGGCCCCCATAACCATGCCACTGGACTGTGTGCCAGGCTGTTTTCACTCGGGGCACCCCAGAGGGGGGCAGGTGAGATCCCTCCCTGCCCCAAGGGAACCAGGCCTGGAAGCTGACCTCCACTACCCAACCACCACCACGCTTTAGGCCACTTTCCACATGCTCAGGCTGAGCCTCATATATGAGTGAACATATTCCTAGACCTTTTAGAATGTGGAAGGAAAAACCCATACTACACAAAGGTAACATGGTCAATAACTCTCAGCAGAATTTTTTTCCCTCATTAGCTCACAAAATGACACTAAACCAAGAAGCTCTCTTCAAGGAACTGCTGTAAATGAACAGTCATATGATAATGATTTATAATATTAATCTACATAATATCAACTCTGTAAACAACTCAAATGTCCTACAAGAGGTTGATATTTAGACAAACTCTAGTATAGCCTTATTGCAGAATACGATTTAGCAGTGTATAGGAACACTATTGGTTCACACAATCACTTGCCTGGATCACAAGGGAATTAATCTGTGAAAGAGACCCTCTCAAGAGTCCATATGGTAAGGTTCCTTTTATATAATAGAGATCGACAAAAATTATAGTGATGAGAAAGAAATGATGGGTTTTGTCAACATTAAAGAGAGGGGAGAGAAATGGTGGCAGAAGAAGCAACAGAAGAGGCAGTTGATTTGCAAATATCCTCCTGGAGATTGGTATATGTTTCACAGCTGAAGTCAGGATATGAGCCTTGAAAAAATAGAGTTCTGGGTGTCAGAGTTTTTAGGACCATACGGCATGACTCTAAATATGACAGATTCTATCCTAGCGAGTACAGCAAAGTTGTATAGTGAGATGGCATAGATTTCATAGTTTCAGCAGGATACCTTAGAACAAAAGAGAATTCTAATGATGCTTCACATGTCTCAATAGGTAAATCAAGTTAAAGAAATAAAAGCAGAGTTTCCTAAATAAATGACAGTAATCCCTATACAATCAGATACTTAACACCTATACAATCAAAATATTCTACCTCCATTATTCTATACAAAGTATCTCTGCTTAAATAATATTCAATATACAGTTTCTCTCTTTAAATTGGCTCAAATCTAAGATCAATGTTTGCATAAAACAAAAATTCTGCATGTGTACTACCCAGAGCCATCTGGTACCCCATCAGTCATACCCACACCTTTGGTTTTTTTATTCATTAATATTTAAATAAGCCAGAGGGAAAAGGGGCAAGGGATGTCCTGAGCAAAAGGAGCAGCTCAAACTAGAGCATGGAAGCATGAAGAAAAGTGATGTATTCAGAGTCAAAAATGACTGGACTGGAGAGTGTTTGCAGGAGGGGAGGGTGAGAGACGTGGGTGATGGAGCAGGGAGAGAACCGTCAGGGAGGATTGTGGAAGAAGGGATTGGAATAATCAAAGTCCATTCCACTCCCTTTGTTATCACTAGCGCAAGCAGACAGACTGGGCAAGTGTCCTGGGGACTGCATGTTCTCATTCTCTCCCTCAGATGCAGAAGTGTGGGCAGTCATGTGGAGCTGTTGTTAACACTACAGGACTCAAGCCAATCCCTCGGCTTCTTCCGGCTGCACACCTCACCGCCTCCACTTCTTCCATACACTGATTTGCATCCAGGCAGGTTGTGTAAACAAGACTGTTAGGGGAATATAAATAACCGCAGCCTAGAATGTGGTTCAATAGTCTGGCCTGGGGAAATCAGAATTTCCACTTATCTCCCGTGCCAAAGTGGAGCCTCTTAACTGCTCACTGGGTTCACCCCCTTCCTCCCGAGATGCTGGTGCTGATTCAGTGCTCAGGATAGCTTCCCCCAGGTCTCTCCTCCTCTTTGCCTGCCTTCACAAGTAAGTGTTGACCCATGGAGTTGTTAAACAGAATCAAACTCTTCTTTCTGTTTTTTGTTTGTTTGTTTGTCTCTTTGTTATTGTTTTTCCCCTTTGAGGACTGGGCAAGGCAAAAGAAGGTAGTGTGTTTTGAAAGGAGATTCCCCACTTATACTTTGACCTCTTCAAAGTCATAAATTAAATCCTCTTCTATCACCTGGCTGCCAGTGAGTGACCCATCCTGCCGGAGGTTTATGTATTTGGGACTATACAAAGCTGCTCAGATTTTCTATAGCCCTGAACCTGAGTCCAACTAGCTTCACTACTACGAGAGCTTGAGGAAGTCACAGGTTCTCTGAGCATTCATTTGATTTTCATCAATAAAGTGGTGATGATTGGTTGCATTAGCCTTTAGGATTGTTGGGAGAGAGGAATGTAAGTGCTTAGTCTTTTAAAAATGGTATATAGTCAGTGCTCAATAAATTTTTGCTATTTTTAATACTGGTCTCCTGATGGCAGGGGTGAGGGTGGAGGCAGATAGCAATATATGCACACTGAATTAATTCAGGCTTTTAACATCAATGTTCCATGTCTGCAGACTCATTTATAAGGATTGGGTAGCATCCTTAGAGTAGTGTTAGAAATCTGGAAACTGAAATTGGAAGGTTCAAAATCTTAATATAACCATTTAAGTGGCAAGGCTGGAGCTGGAGCGATAGCACAGTGGGTAGGGCATTGCCTTGCATGTGGCCGACCCAGGTTCGATTCCCAGTGTCCCATATGGTCCCACAAGCACCGCCAGGAGTAATTCCTGAGTGCATGAGCCAGGAGTAAGCCCTGTGCATCGCCGGGTGTGACCCAAAAAGAAAAAAATAAAGTTGCAAGGCTTCATACCAGTCTCTAAATTGTAGATCCATCGCCCATAAAGTGAGAGTCTCAGCAACTTTCCTCCTAAATTTGGGGACCTAAATTAGATTAAATGTCTGCATCAGGAATATCTTTCAGGTTGAGGGCATATAGGAGACTTTGGAGGTAAAATGTACAGGAAAGTTAAAAAGTTAAAAGCTTCTCCTTGTAATGTACATGTGTGCCTCTTCATCTCTGCATTTTCTGTTGAACCTCCTAAAAAGGCAGCTCTGGTTTCTGACCTTTGTTCATCCCAGCCCTCACATGACCTTCTTCCTATTACTCCAGTATTTGCAGCTCATTCTACCACAGGGTTTTTGCTTTTCTTTCTTTGCCTGTATTACCTTCCCACACGATTGTCTCCTTTCTATGTTGAGAGTATGGCCCAATTATTACCTCCTTAAATATGTTCTCCTGATGCCCAATTGAATGATCTCCCTAGTCATTTTCTGTCACCTGGCCCTTCCATTTTTCTAAATGATGTCTATCTCGAGCTGTCATATTTATTCACTTGGTTATTTATTTGATCTATTACTCCCAATGAAAGTCTTGGAAGAAAATTTGTTTGCTTGGAATTTTTATGTATTTTTCTATTGAAACAAATTATTCATTGAAATTTTTGCCACACAAAATCTTACTTAGACAAATATATATTTTCTTTTGTTACAATTATGAACTATACTGTTTAATTTATTTCTCTTCTTTCCTAGTTTCCAGAAAACTCGAAGTTAAATCCCATATTTGATCCTGTAAACTGTATTTGTTTATTACTTTTTATTTTCTCTACAATAACAAAAACCATTACTATGAAATGAATGAAGTCCCACGGAACCCAGATAATGCAGAACTTTGTGACCTTGGACTGTGGATTCAACGGATCCTGGAACAGAGATCCTCTGCCTGCTTCCCCAATTTCCCCAGCATACACAATGGAATAATACACAGTCACAAGCTACTGAAAGCATCCTGCCTGCACGGGCTGAGTCTGGCACGCTCCCTGTGGCATATTCGATATGCCAAATACTGTAACAATAATAGGTCTCATTCCCCTGACCCTGAAAGAACCTGCAATCATTGGGAAAAGACAAGTAAGAAGAGGTTTCTAAAATCTCAGCTCTGGGAGGAATCGAGATGTTACTGGCACCCGCTTGAGTAATTCAACTATCAATGGGATGACAGTGATGCAGTGATACTATTATTAAATATAGACACATATAAGGATGTGGATATATAGTATAAACAACTCATGTACTGTGGTAGCAAGACAGATCCATTTAAAAGCCAGGAAAGTATCTGTCCTCAGCTCATTTTTATTTGTTTCCATGTCTTTACATTAATTTTATAGTTCTCTATCTCTTAAAATTTTTCTCAAATACTTAGAACTTAGGACAACATCAACTCTAAAAGAACAAGACTGTATTATGTTGCAGAGCAACTGAGGGAAACGTAATTTGGTCTTATGAGGCCTGAGTGAAAAAAATTCTTTGTATCATTCTATTTATGTGATCTCAGTTCTTAACACTACCAGCCATCACTTGGACCATTGAAACTATATTTTGACATCAATGAGTTATGTTTCCTCATAGATAGAACAAATTCATATGTGTAATTTAATTGGGTATGTTAAGTAAATTCAAGCCAATCATTAGAAATTTATATTCATGCAGCACTTAGTACAATAGCAGAATATGCAAATAACCCAGGTGCCCAATGATGGAAGAGTTGATTGTGAAGCTATTGTATACACAATGGAATAATACACAGTCATAAGGAATGATGAAATCTTGCACTTAGCTGAAGTATATAGAATAACATGTCTATGAAATGGAAAGTACCAAAGGTGGAATAAACATTATCTCTATGTTACGGAAATGAAAAATGCCAAGAAAGGAGAGAAATAGTGGTTGGAGGAGCAAGAAGAAAAGGTCCAGAAGCCATATAAGAACAAGGGTTAGAGGCCTTGGGCTAGTCTGTGGTGTCTATCTATCTGTCTGTCTGTCTATCTATCTATCTATCTATCTATCTATCTATCTATCTATCATCTATTTATCTACCATTAAAGCCAAAGCTACTGTAAGTATAGAACCCAGACTTCAAAAACCTTGAACTTAAAGTGTATCTGTTGAGGAGTTAGGTTGGAAATGGGAGGAAATAAGGGGTTACGGATGGAGAAATGTAGCCATAGGTAGTGGGATTGGAGTTGGAAACATTGCAGGCCTGAAAACCTAAAAAATACTTTGTAAGACATGGTGTATAATTTTTTTTAAATTTAAATGTATTTCCTGAAATGTAGTGTCCAAGTCAGGCTTTCTTCATGAACAAAAAAAAAATTCAAAACAACAGCAACAACATGAATCTCAAGTCAAATTACTCCCAGGACCAGAGAAATAGTGCAGCAGATATAGACACTTGCTTGCACACTTCCAACCTTGGTTCAATTTCCAGCACCCTATGATCCCCTGAGCCAACAAGAAATGATCCCTGTGTGAAGAGCCAGGAATAAATCCTCAGCATATCTGGGTGTGCCCCTCCAAAAAGAACAAACAAGCAAAACAACCAACTTACGCTCAAGATCTAAGATTCACTTCCTCTGTCTTATTCCCAAGTGTGTCTTACTTTTTCCCTATGTGAACAAATAATATATTGAGCCTTACCTAATTTTTAGTGTTTTATTTTCCTGAATGCAGAGAAAGATAGATCTTCCCCCACTCCCAGACACACACACACACACACACACACACACACACACACACACACACACACACCCCAAATACATACTTTAGAACATATCATTAACCTATCTTTGGTTTTATGCAAACAAATCTTCAGAAATTATGTTTAATATTAGGATACCCTACAGTATTTCATTAATTTACTTAAGAAATAATTATTTACTTCTTATTGGGTTTAAGACACTGAAAAAGATAAGGCAATACAGTCCTTAACAAAAATGATGAATGACCCAGTTTCTGATCTCATGAAGGTTATAAAACCATGTAGAAGAAAGAAATAAATATTTAAAAAATATACAAGTATGACAGCTACTATAAATGAAACTATCAAAATGTCACAGTGAGAACAATGTGGGAGATGCACTGTGTATGGGGGAGATATGAGGAAATGCCTCTCCGAAGAGCAACATTTAAGCGGAGACTTGTAAAGCATGGAGAATTAAGTAGGCAAAAAAGAAGGCAAGGGATACAAAAGTAGGAAAGAATGAGTGCAAAGGACAAGTGATGAAACCAGAAAGAAGGCCAGGCAGTCTAGAAACTGGTGAGCAGGAGGAGCACTGGTAGAAGAGAACCCTGGGGAGGGAGAGATTTCCTTTTAGCTTTCAAGATGCAATTTGACTGTGATTCCTCAGTGATGTTTCCCTCGGCTATTGCCCCACAAAGATTGATTGTTCTTCTTTAGTTCATATCTCAGTTCTTCTTGTTTTATAGACTCTATGGGCAGTGCTGTGCATATCCATCTCCCCATTATTTGAGCACAAGAAATTAAGACAAAGAATTCATCTTATTCATCTTTGTTTTCTCTAATTCCTCTTGCACAATGCTCAGGACTAAATGACTGCTCTATGAATATCTAGTGCATTTAATTTGGGGCAGAAAGTCCAGCTGACTCAGAACACAGATTTTTTTTTGTATTTTCTTTCTACTTGTATTGCCTAATTAATTTCTTATTAACATTTCTCAATCTGAGCAGCTAGTAAAAATTACCGCAACACAAATAACTTAATTCAAATATGGCCATTTTTTACATTGTGTGCACTGAAGTTTGGTGAATAATGGATAACCAGAGGGCATTTATAAGCTTGTAATTTAGAAACAAAATATGGGTCATAAGATAGATGGAAGCACCTTGGATCATCAGCCCTGAATATTTTCTAAAAAGTAATTCCTGTTAAAATTGGGATAATTTTCTCCAGTCACTGTGTCTGGTAAGAAGATAACCCTAGAATGCAACATATAAACAATAATTCAAAACTGCTTCGGTTAGTTACTGGTGCACCTGATTACTACCAGTGGCTCTATGATAATCTATGGAGATCATTAATTTTGATTCTGTAATGTCATTTGATTCTGAAAAACCAAGGGTCAGAATATAGGATGAGAGTGTATTTCCCTATTACTTGATGAAACATTGGTAGCATGGTAGCACTGTCCTCCCATTATTCATCGATTTGCTTGAACGGGCACCAGTAACAGCTCCATTGTGAGACTTGTTGTTACTGTTTCTGGCATATAGAATATAATACAAGGAGCTTATCAGGCTATGCCAAGTAGGTGGGATACTCTCAGTAGCTTGCCGGGCTCTGCAAGAGGGACAATGAATCAAACCTGGGTTGGCCACATGCAAGGAAAACACCCTACCTGCTGTGCTATTGCTCCAGCCCCAAACATTGGTATCACATTTTATATCAATGAATACTTCATATGACTCCCAAATGGAAACATTCTTATTCAAACAAAAAATCTAGTTTTATAAAAGGCGTTTGAGTGTTTAATATCCTAACATGCATTATGCATTACATAGATGGGGACAGAGTATTTGATGTCTCCCAATTATATTTGAACCATACACAATTTTTATGTATATCTATTAAAATGATTTATTATAATATAGGAATGGCCACACACGGTCTGAGTATTTTAGCACCTTAAGTAACCACATAAAGTGGAAATAACAGCAATTTTGGATTAGAAGGCCTGAGTTCAAGTTCCTGATGAGTCATTTTTAAATATATCCTTAAACATACCACTTAACTTTGAAGAATCAATTCCCTTCTCTATAAAGTGAAAACATCAGTTCCAATTCTACTGGTTTTGTGAAATGATTAAATATGCTAATAGGCATTAAAGGCCTTTTAAGAAGTGTAAGCACCTATAAAGGTTTTTATTGTTAATAAAGTTTGATATAAAGACTAAGCATTGAGAGAAGGATAATAGCTAGCTTACCGGAGATTTAAAAAAAAATCCACAAAATCAACACAGCAGTGTTCATGCCATTGGCACATCATTTCATGTGAAGCATATAGATGTTAGAGACAGGGACAACTCTATGTTCCACTATTGATTTCCTAAATATTTGAATACATTCAGAGTTCAGTCCTAAAACAGCCCACATTTACCTACTCACTTAAATCCTCTGGCTTGACAGGAGCTAACATTTATGGAATAAGGAACTTTCCTTGCTTACGAGGAAAGTCAAAGATTATAACATTTAGAAAATATATCTACAAGGCTGCAGATAGACTATCTATTTGAGCTAATGATTCACTTTCACAGACCAAGCATTTGGATCTCTAGCCATCTATATCACTAGTAAAGCTTACTTGCTTGAGGTCTCTGATATGACAATTGTATGTGAAATTGTTTATCTTGAATCATGTCCTGAATATCTGGATTCTTTACACCTTTATTTCTTACTCAGAGAAGTTCTCTTTCACAATCATTTTGACCATATAGATACTATCACTCTAGCCCCAAGGTAATTTCCATCTCAGAACTCATATCTCAGTGGAAATAAAGATCTCATGATAGAAATTTTTATTTTAAACTTATTGATTTAAATATGTTCAGCAGATCCTACCAAATATATAAAGAATCTTGATAGACAACATTAAAAGGCATAGTATGGAAAATGTTTTTCAAAACTTGCATGTATATTCTATGATCTATGATGACAAATTAGAAACTCTACCAACAGTGTTTCCTATTGAACTCAAACCAACTACCTGCTAGCATCTCCTAAGAGGAGGGACTGGTGGGAGAACAAGAGAAATAAGAAATATTTAAATGTTGTCCAAAGTCAGTCATCTCATTGGTAATTTGCTTCAGAATCAAGCTTCCTTTTTCACTTCTAGGAGAGTTGCTATGTCTCTTTAGAGGTTGTAGGACACTTATGTCTTCAGAGGTCTGGCCTCTGTTGAACCCAAATCTGAGCTATAAGATTTTGGTTAATACAAACTCTCTTAGGCTGTACATTCACCATAGTAGATTCTTACAAATTTATTGTCTCTGAAATATTTTTATAATTCTCTAAAATTGACTCATATGCGTAAAGCAAGAAATGACTGAGATGGTACTAGAATTAAAAGCTAGTGGACTTGACAGAATATTCTGACCCCACAGCAGGCTGTCTTCACTGAGGCAACTCAGAGGGGTAGGTTGAGTTTCCCTCCCTTTCCCAGCAGAACTCCAGCAGCCAAAAACCTCTCGAACCCAATCGCACAGCCATGCTCAAGGCCATTCTCCACAGGCTCAGACAATCCTCACCTATAAAGGAACCTGCAGAAAAACCTAGCTATGTGGGACCCATGACTGAGATGCCCAAGCTCGCTTGGAACAGGACTGCATTTCCTCCCCACAGCTCCCCAGTTTTCCAGTAGCTTGGCAGTCACGCCCACAAACTGCCTTCAGTGCCATATAATCTCATCAAGAGCCAAGATCCAGAGACTAGGAAATTAAGCTCCCTGAAGGGAGGACACAGAACGTGCTAGAGTGCATGGCTGCATATGCAGCCCTGTGACCTTTTATACTCTAGCCCACTGATGTACCAAAAAG